TGCTGGGAACTGAAAGGAATTCCTTCCAATTCAGGAATTCGTGGAACTCGATTGATATCGAATAGGTCTCTTTTGCTGAATGATGACGGAGTTCCCGGAATTGGGTGAAACTGATTCCGCAATGTTCAACATCGCGGAATAGGATGCCTGCTCTTTAGTATGAGCTTTTCCTCTTGAAAAAACGCTAGTTCGTATCAAATATGGTTATAAAAGATATAAATTATACTTTTTTCATTACTGAAAACTGAATTTTATATTGAATTTCAGAACGATCAAAAGAGTCAAACTCATCTGATTCATTGAAACATCTCAATTGCCAAGACCAAGAGCATTCACGATGTGATTCGTTGATTGAAAAGAATAAGACTACGGATGGAACACCTGCAATTCTTGACAAATCGCTTGTTAATCGTGACGATTCATCACGCGACTTTCAAACGAGTACCACATCAGTTAATATGCCCGGTCGCTTATCTTTAACAGGATCCATTTTGAGCAGGTCAGTTTCACAAGTCATATCATAAGCTCATAGGTTTGATTCATTCCATAGACAATCTTCATTACCATTGTCTCAGTTCAAAACTGGCAAACAACTGGATGAGTCGCCTGTTGAATGTTCGCCGATGCCTTCATCAAAACACGATCAACAAACATTGCATTCATGTCCACCTGATGAAAATAATCCTAGACTGTTCAATTCCGATCATTTATCTGAAGCATCATCAAATTTAAGACATTCAATTGCAACTAGCAATCCAACATTAGGAAAAACGGTAAGATCCATTGGTTCATCAAATTCATCATCAACACTTTTGGGTTATGGTCGTTCAGCAAACAACAGAACAGGTAAGAACTTTGACGAAATTTCTTGTTGTCACTAAATTGTTATAAGAAAATGAATGAATTTCCTTACTTTTTTTCTTGAGGTGCGAATTGCCCAAGATTTCAATTCGCTAGTCTGAATTGCTTCGAAACAATAGGATTTTATTATGTTTGTTTTTCTCTATATTAACAACATTGTAAGGTCGATAATAACTGTAATTTCGATATCGAATAGATTGGAAACAGTTATCTAATTAACTGGATTAGAAACTATGTAGGTAGATATATATTCAAATTTGAAAAGTAACTAAACTTTGGCTTTTGTCAACATGATCCTAGAATCGTTCTACTAAAAACTATAGAAACAATGAGAAAAATCTAGCAACTAGAAACTGCAGTGTCGGTAAATATGATTCATTCATTAGTGAATCTAAAAACATTTCTCGTCATTCTATATCAATAGTTGTCTTCAAGAATGTTACGTTCACGAATGAAAGAGAAAAAACTTATGGAATCTGTAACTTCCATAACTGTAGAGAATTAGATGGTATATCTTTACAACAATGTAAACCATTTTTATTTACCAGCAGTAAATTAGGGATAGGATCAAACACCTTTTAGGGTAATTTCGACGAGATTAGAATGGAAAATAATGATACAGACACGTTTACCAATATGGAAAACCCTATTTATTCACGTCTATCATAATTTGTGATGGAGCGAAACTTCAGAATGTTAAAAAAACTGACAGATTACGACAGAAATGCCAAAGTATCGTGCCATGATCCATAAGGCAGACCATTAAACTTGCCGGCGTTTTGATGCATATCAGACATATGAAATTTCAAACTTTTAAAAATCACACACTCACTTACGCACATCACCAATTTTAGATGCAGGTGCCGGGAAATATCAAGGAGGCGATGAAATGACTGAAAGCAAAGCTGCTACAGCCGAAACAACTCAGGCTGACGATTCAATTCTTGGATATCGAACATCCAGTGAAAGGAATGATTTAGGAAGTCACTCATTACAATTGATGTCAAAACCTGCATTGCTTACTTCGAAATCATATGATGCAACCACCCGTCATGGACTAATTCCACCAAATACACCACCATCTACTCCAGAGAAATCACCAAAAGTTAAACCACGATTGCACGCCGTTGCATCGGATTTATCCACATCTAAAGAAAATAATGATTCGCATCGGTCCTCCATTTCTTCTCATCCAAGTTCTATGGAACAACAGGAAAATAAGACGGAGACAACTATTATCTCATCTCATATTCCTCAACGATCTTCATATGATCAACAAACATTGGAATCATCTTCATCTAATCAAGATTATCATCGATCACAGGAAGCCGTCATACGGCAAAAACAGTCGACTATCTATGAAGATCAACCACATAAAAAAGCAAAAACATCCAATTTATCCTCAAGATCAGTGATAAAATCTTCAAATCGAGATGATCCAATTGTTGCATACATACCTTCTTTACCGTCTAGCGACTTCAATAATAAAGAACTTGAATTAATGATTAGTAATTGTTTGAAACTCACACACCAGCTACAATTAATCGATATAAAATGCAGTTTACAATTAGATGCCGGTATTTTATATCTACGAAACAAGAAAGATAAAAATCATTTACTTAGCACCATCAAAAGCATTAAAATCAACTCAAAATCAAATGAAATAGTGTCCTTTGTAGATGAGCTGGAGTTAGTCTCCTACGTGATTATCGAGCCGCAAGAGACGAAAGATCTTCTACTTGCCGATGATATATCTCAACAATGGATAAAAGTCTACAATGGTAACTACCCATTGAGGTGTGAAAATTTATGCGATGAATTTCGGAATATATTTCGAGTAGTTACAAATACATTAGATGAACTTATGAATACTTCATTAATAACTGAATTCTTCATCGAAAAACAAAAGGCCATTGTTTACTTTCGAGCTGATTATTGTTTTTTCGAAAATTTACCGCGAACATTTAGTGAAGATAATTTGAAATATGCTATTGGTAAACAAATTTCTGAGAGGAATATATCCAAAAAGTCCATTTACATTCAATATAACAAAACAGAAGCCAACGCTGTTGTGTTAACATGTGATAAAGCTCGAAGATGGGCATTATTTCGTTCAATCAATTTAGATGGAAAATTTATTCTGAAGCAAGACAAAATCATTTATCGTCTTCTAGTGCTATCTGTACCTAGCAAAATTTCGCTTTCACGTATCAGAGATTTCGAGATGTTTGCTGGTACCGTTATACAGGCGATACAGTGTGACAACGACGTCATTCTGGAACTATCGAGCAAGAGCGTCTATGAAAATTGTGTCAGAAAAGGTTATTTATATACCGATGGTTATAATATGAATATCGAATCCTATTCATTGGCGGATAAATACGAGAATTTGGAAATCGATGCTCGCAACTGGTATGAAACAGAGATGTGTGCTTATAAATCTGATATTGCGCAGTTTATTGATCAACCTGAACATCCAATATTTCAATTCAAATGGAATCCAAAAATATTTTTAGAGCAATTCGATCGTTGGACTTTGAAGGATAGTACTGGCGCCGTCCATGAACGAGATCATCGTGAATCAATAAGTAATCGACAGCGTCATTTATTACGAATGACAGTAATGTTCAATACAATTAGTATTGTAAAAAAGAGAAGTTACCATGTAGACGACAAAGAAATTAAGT